GAGATGTGCACGGACGAGCACGAACCGGGAATTACACGACACGAGCAGACAGCCGGATAACCATTCTGTAATACCGTGGTAACGATGACGGATAATTTTCATCCGACTCGGGGGTGGAATGACCGGGTCACGACGACAGGGGGAGACGGATGGATGCTCTCCGAACGAAACGCGGGACCCCACAAAACACACCAAAAACGCGTAATTGATGACGCCGCGTTGCATCATCATCGCGATCATCGATCACGCAGAGAGGGTACCGATATACCGTTCGTCGAGGGGAATACGTTTTTTCTTCGATCCGGTATCGCGAGGGTGAATGCACTCCTTAGAAGACGGACGGAGTAGCACACGTGACGCGAATCGACAACTGCGGCGCTTCGTATGCGCTTTATATGCGCTACTCCCAGCGTGATCACCTCTTCTCATGCCTACATAATCCGAGCCTCATTTTTCCCTCCTCCGAGGCATGTAGAGGAACTGCGTCATTACATGGGAGGATTTTCTTTTAAGCGCGAAGAAGCAGTACGAGCGTGAGCAATTAACAAGTAAATTAACGGAAATTAAAAGCGAGAATTAAAAAACAGAACATAAAATGAAAACGGTTGCAAGTAAAGCGACCGTAAAAGCTAACGACCGATCGGCAGATCGGGAGTCGGCAGATCTGACGACACGGCGTGGGAAGGGCTGGACGTTGGCCGAGTTAAGGGGGCCGAAATCGGGTTTATTTATCATGCAAGTGGAGAAGTAGTTCACGGGCGCAGAGAACCTGCCGCCAGTGCCCACGGAGCGACGAAATAACCGGCACGCGGAACGACCGAACGCCTGCATGCTGTCGTGCTCCTGGTACCCCGTGTTTACGCTCCTGGTACCTCATGTCTACGGCTGGCACCATCTCTCCTCGCATCTCATCGGGTTAAATAAAGTCGTCCCGCCTTCCCAGTTCCCACACGAACGGAACGAAGGAGAGACAATGGGATGCCGTGCTCTAATGAACCTGGGAACATCCGGAGGCGAAACGAGCGAGAGAGAACGCGATGATAATAAAAAAAACAGCATGCGACGGATCTCGTCGCAGCGTGGACGCAATACCCATCCCCGGAGCATAACGGAAGTCGTCGATGATCTGGAAGGGAGCCCAAAGAGATGCATGCACTCGCCGATACACCTACGACCGATTTAGGACTGGGTCAAGGCGTAGGCGAAACCACCTCCTCCTCCTCCTCCTCCTCCTCTCTGACCGACCGAACTGAATAAAATGAAATCCTCGTTCCGAGTCCCCCCCGGGCATGCGATGGACTCCAAATCCCACTCGGACGAGGAAATGGCGTCTCTCGTCGGAACGTCGAGCGAGGTATGAGGAAGACAAAAGAATTCGACCTTCGCCGACGATGGGATCCTTATGAGTCCTTGAAAAAAAGGACTTCTCGGGCTCCTCTCGTCGGCGTCTTCTAATCACCTCCCCCATTAACAGCCGAATCGGTCCTCGGGATTTTATAACACTCGTCACGATTACGATGAGTCTCGCGATACGGACCGACAGACGGTCCCCTAAATCGTATGCCCGTCCCACATGCGACCGGGTTTTTATCTCCCGTCGTAAAGGACGATGACGACGTGAGACGAGAATGTGGAGCAACCTTGCACGGACTGCCGAGTCCAGTTGCGGTCGAGGCAGTACGTCGTACCGCAGGTCGTAAAACGGCAACACGGCAACCAGTACTGCATGCCATCAGAGTCGTGCTCCTGCACGAATGGAGATACCGCTTCGCCCGGCAGCCGAAGCGGTACGATCACGCGTTCGTCGATACCGATGCTTTCGTTCCGTTTCATGCATCATATTTCGTCGTTAGCTCTCGCGAAGACGTTAAACACGCAGACGTGCTGCGAGAAGATCGCGGGAGATGGGAGGAGCGGAAAACCGCGGATGCTTCGCCGACGAGCGCGATTCCATGCGATCGGGGCCGGGACCGGGCTCGATGGAGGTCTCTCGAGCGGGCGACCGAGACGTTTCCACGAGTGATTCCGTGCGATGTCCGCGCGACACGGGGGACTTCGCCCCTCGGGGCCGAGAGGCGAAGCCCGGCACGTGAGGAGACTCGGATACCCGGAAAAAAACGGGGACGCTCCCTTATATGCCCTCGCGGATGGGACGTGGCAGCGCATATACATACGACCGCGCGCGAACGGCATACCAAGAGGACGAGAAACAGTATTTCGGGGAGGCTACTCACCCGAGGAGCAGCTGGGGAAGCCCGGTCGCTGATGGTCCGACGGCTCTTCGCTGCCGATCCCGCTCGATTTCCCGTCGCTGTTGCTCCCTTTTCCGGGCACGTAGGCTCCGTTCGTACCGACGACCTGAGACGTCTTGCTCCGCCGTTCCTCGATGTTCTCCAGCCGTCCGTAGCTGCGGTGGACGGTGTCGTAGTCGCGCGGGGGGAGCAACAGGGGGGCGACGGAGTTGAGTTTCTCGCGGAGTTCCGCGGCGAGGCTGTCGTAGAGCGACGCGATCCTGTCGCGGTTCAGCGTCGCCGAATCCGGATTGCTGCTCCCGCTGCTCGTGCTGCTGCTACGACCGTCCGAGTGGAGCATCTTGCGCGGAGGTAGGACTCCTTTGTTCCGGAGCCTCGCTTCCAGTTCCACGAGCCTTCGTTGCTGTTCGGGGCGATGGACGAGGGAGGCGATCTCTTGACGGAGATACGCCGCCGTCTCGCCGGAATCGCACCGGTACGTGTGGACGTGCACGGGGCATCGCGTGGCCGGGTTGTACAACAAGAGCACGCACGAGACCAGGTCTTCGTCCGGTTTCCGCTCCTGGATCACGTCCGTCACGGCGTGCACGGGGATGAAGTGCTTCACCTTCTTGGGGAAATTCTGGACGATCTTGATCCCCTTGTGCGAGACCTGAAGCGTGACCTTCAACGGCTCCTCCTCCTTCTCCTTGTCGACCAGGGCCCGGACGGCGAGCGCGACGGATTCCTCGCCTCGGAGGCCTCCGCTCTCCAGGGATCCCAGGAACCAGACGTAGAAGGAGGACTTCTTCGTCTCTTTTCTTCCCGTTCCGCCTGCCATCTTCCTGCCCCTCACCTCCTCATCCCATCGCCTGTGTCAATAACGAGATTCCGGAGGGAGAAATCAACTTCTGCAAGTCACGAGTTTCAATATTGGCTCCCCCTATTCTTCGGATCATCCGACCCTCGATCGGGCCGAAAAGGCCAATGCCGATTCCCACTTTAAACGTTCGATAAAAGTGAAATGTCAAATTTATTTATTATTATTTTATTTATTTTTTTATTATTACGAAACTCGCGATGGAAATAGTGACAGAAGATTTATGCAAGAACTATCGAACGACGAAACACGCACGATCCACGATTTCAACCAAGGCCTGCCATGCGGAACAGCACTCCGTCGTATCCATGAGAAAAGCATAAATTCTGCCACAAAATCTTTTGCATGCGATTTTCCCTCTTCTATTGTTCTCCTCGAATGGAAGCGATCGTTCATCCTTTGCACGAAAGAAAAGGAAACGAAACCCGCGATCGTGCATGGTGTCAGAAGCGCGCAACGAAACGCTTAGACGACACGGGGGCACGCGCTAATAAATCCAATAAGTATCGATTTAAGATTCGTTCTCGGCTGGAAACCCCCTTGGAAGTCTTGCCCTTGGGCCCTTCTCGAATTTATGGCCGGGACCGACCTTGCGTCCTTCAAGGCCACTTCTGATAAAGCGCCTCTGCTCGACCGAAAGAAGCAAATCGAGGAGAAGAAAAGGCTCAAAAAAAAAAGGAAAAGAAAAGGAACGAGAGAAGAGAAGATGAAAGGAATAAAAGGAGGAGCCGTGAAAGTGCGGCTCCGTTTCTCCGCCGGAGATAATCCATCACGCCGCTCGTCGAGGTACGTGAAAGGTATTCCGTGGAGGAAGGAAGGGCCCCCCGACGTGAAGGATTGCGTCATTTGAGAACTGATTTTATCTCTCTGACGCTTCTATCCCATTAGCGACTGATTGGGCCCTGCCTCAAAACGATTCATTAAAAAGGCCTCAAATCGCTCCTCTCATTTTCGCTTTTCTTTTTTTTTTTCTTTACGCGTTGGGCAACCTCGTCCTGGGTTTCTGACCGAGAAAATGACGGGAGGCATTCAGGGGGAAAAATGCTGACAAGAATACGAGATGTTCGCGTTTTTCATTTGTATTTCTA